AATTATCACATAAAGTGAGAGCATATATTAAATTATTTGTCATCTTGAATTATTTGGCCTAAAATGCTGACAGTAAAAATAATATATAACCATACATTTAAAATCAAGTAACACATGTAAGAGCTTATAATAAAAGGCAGCAGAGCTCCATCCCAGGTTTGCACACACCCTTCAGTTTCAATTCCCAAAGGCAATTATTTAGAATTATTTTTTAATTGAAATATAGTTGATTGATTTCAGGTGTACAACATAGTGATCTGATATCTTTACCGATTATACTCCATTTAAAGTTATTATAAAATATTGGTTATATTCCTTGTGCTGTATATTACATCCTTGTATTTTATTTATTTTATACCTAGTAGTTTGTACTTCTTAATTCCCTTCCCCCATCTTGCCACAACCCACAACCCATCTCCCCACTGGTAACCCATCTCCCCACAACCCATCTCCTCACTGGTAATCACTAGTTTGTTCTCTGTATCTGTGAGTCTGTTTCTGTTACTTTATCTTTATCTCCATTTGTTTTACTTCTTAGCTTTTACATATAAGTGAAAGCATACAGTATTGTCTTTCTCTGTCTAAGTTTCTTCGCTAAGCATAACACCTTCCAGGTCATTTCATGTTGTTGCAAATGGTAAATTTTCATTCTCTTTTAGTGACCAAGTAATATTCGATTGTTTGTATATCTTGGCTATCCAAGGTAGCTTTCATATGTTGGCTGTTATGGACAGGGAGGTGCACATATCATTTTGAAATCTGGGGATCTCAGGGCTTGGAACTGTGCTTCTGTTTCACTCTTCCCCCAGTGTGTTGGTTTTCACTCTTTCCCCAGTATGCACACCTTGGTTATATGTTGGGCTGGGGCTAGAGGGATCGGTACCACACCACTGAGATGGCCTGCCTCCTCCCTGTGCCCAGGGATGTGCGCTTCAGCATGGTAGTCTCTGCCCTGGAGCTGGCTTCACTCCCTCTAGGTGTGCAGGTCCTAAGCTGACTGCTTCTCTTCCCTTTCTATTGGACTCCACATGGAGCTTTCTTTACAACCATAGTTGTAGAAGAACTATTTTGCTAGTCCCCAGGTCAAGTTCAGAGAGATTTACTCTATATATAGTTTTAGTTTTGATGTGTTCATGAGGGGAGGTTAGCCAAGAGTTCTCCTACCTGCCATCTTGATCTCTCACTTGGAATTCTTTCAAGTTTTTTGGTTGGTTACCTACATCATCATCATCATCATCATAAATCTTTCGTTAGTTATCAAAGTTAGATATCAGCCACCTACAGGTGATTATTTAACTACCTTATACCACAACTATCTCCTCTTCTTTATCCTCCTAATGTAGATATATTATCACTGTTTTTAGTTAAAAAATTAGTGTTTATATTTTTATGATTATGTACCATAATCACATTCTTTTTTGCAGTTTCAATTTTTCCCTGATGTTTCCAATTGCCTTTCTCTTTCTTTGCACTTTCTTTGCCATTTCCATACGTTGTTCCAAATTCTCAAGGAGTGTTATCAAATTTCTTGAATTTCATCTTTTCCTTGGTGGTTCCTTCTGAAGCCTCCTTGTTAGCTCTTTTGAGGACTGACTTCTCCCTAGGGCTACATCACAGCTGTCATCCAGGGACCTCCCTTCATCAGCCTCCTGGTTGGGCCCTTCTCTCCTGGATCCCATGGTTCATGGAAGTAACATATTTAAACAACTTCTTAGGAAGTTATGAGAGAGAAGTCAAATTGTTTCTTGCATGTCCAAACATGTCTTCCACACTGACTCTTGACGGGTACCTTGGCTGCGTAGAGAACTCTTGGTTGGAAACCATTCTCCCACAGAATTTTGAAGGCATTAGGCCATCATCTTCTCTCATATAATTTGCTGGCGAGTAGTCATCTAATAGTCCGAATTTTATTCATTTTTAGGTGATTTGTTCCTGGTCCTCTAACTCTAAAAAGTTTTAGGATTTTTCTTGCCTTTACACTTAGTATTCTAAAATTTCATAATGACATGTCAAAGTGTAAGGATTTTTTTTTTTCACCCAATGATCCTTTGTGTAAAGTAGTCAGCTGGCCCATTTTATTTGAGACTTTTATGTCACAGTATTGGGGAATTCTCTTATTTATTTACAAAAATTAAAAATTTAATAGCAACATATTTAAAACCTATAGAATGACAGCTATTCATATATTACTGTCCAGAATTAGCAAATGTTAACCTTTTATCATATTTGTTTCATAACTATATCTATGTATCCAAAATATCAAAGATACAGCTAAAACATCACAATTAAACCTTACCTCTCCCCAGAGTAACCTGAAGTTAGTATGTCTCATGCCCCCTGCATGATTTTGTGTTTCTGTTACATATAAATGTGGCAGTAAATAATATCGGTAGTGTTCTGGTGTTTTTAATTTTATATAAATAACATCATTTTGTCTGTATCTTTTTACAACTTGCTTTTCTATTCATTATATTTTTGAGATTTATACAGGTTGATACACAGAGAGATAGTTCATTCATTTGAACTCCCTGAAGTATTCCATTACGAATCCGTCAGGAAGGCCTTCAGCTAAAAGTAACAGAAAACGTGGCTAGCGGTTTAAATATACTACGTAGATTTTTTTTTTAATTTTCACATAACAGAAAGCCCAGAAATCAGCAGTCTGGAGCACAGTGATTTTATCAGGAGCCCAGGTTTACGCTAGCCTCCTGCTTTGTCCTTCGCTCGTGACTTTGGCCCTCATATCTGTCACATTGTTATTGCAAGATGACTCCTTCATCTAGAAGTCCCATGTCCAAGGTCTGTGCAGGAAAAGGGGGAGGCAAAAGGGCAAAATATGCCTTCTAGCTGTCTGTTACTCTTTATCAGGAAAATAAAAGTTCTCCTGGAAACCCTAGCCAGCAGACTTCCATTTAAACCTCACTGGCTTGGTAGGGCCCCATGACTAATCCTAAGATTAGTTACTGGCCAAGGGCCATCAGATTGTAGTGAATGGTTTAGACAGATCACCTGAGCAAAATGGGATTCTATGAACAGGCAAGAAGAAGAGGGGATGGATGTTGGAAAGTGTAGCAGAGGCTGCTAGATGAACACTCAGTGCCCTTGCGCACTGTTTTCCTTACTAATAGAACCCAATCTCATTTGCCCAGGAAATACTTACTCTCCCAGATGTCCTGGGCCATTCAGGGAGGCCTGTCGGTGGCATGGTGATGCGCAATTCCATTAAAGAATTTACCAGAGGTGAAGTATGGGAGTAGAAAGGAGTTTATTAGGGTACGCTGTCTTAGACAACAGTGGGCCACACAGGCGAGAGGTGCCTGCATGAGCACTGAGGGCCGGATGTTCGGGTGTTTTATAAGGTTGGGTCACAAGGCTAGACTTGTTGAATGATAGACTCACAGTGGGCAATTGGGTGGCGTCTTCAACATTTAATTGGATGTCTCCAAAACTTCAGAATCTTTAAGTCGTCCAGTCTTCTTCATGTAAGTACCATTAGGATATTCTAGGAGTCAAGTGGGCAGAGGGATGAGTGGCTAACTGCCATACTTAATCCTTTCCCCCCAGTAAAATGACTCCTTCTTGCCCTCAGCTTTCCGCGGCCTCCTGATTTAATCCTTCCCTCTTCTGGGGTAAGCAAGGCCTTGTAGGAGACTGAGCCTAGGAGAGAGATCTGAGAGTTTAACTTACTTCTCACGAAGATTTTCAACCAACTTTCCTGTTTTCAGCCCCACCCTCTGTCCTGGCGTTCAGATGTTTTGACTGCCTGCAATTGCCCTTTCTCTACTTTTGAGAACAATTTTATATGTTAGAGACTATGTAATCCTTGAAGTTTCATATAAAATTTTTTTAAAAAACTATCTGCTTCTGATGTTTATTTTTCCTTTAATTATAGAAAATTTTCTTTTCACATAGTAAAATAGAAAAAACATGATGACCCTTTTGTACCTATAAAGCAGCTTCAAGAATGATCAACACATGGCTGGTTGTGACGTCTTTCCCACAACCATTTCAATTAATTGTTATTAGTTACTCCTGATTTTCTAACTCTTTAAGGTTTTTGATGATTGCTATTATTTTTCTGATCAAGTATCTGTTTATTAGCCTTGTGGCTAAGAGCTGTAGTTTCAGAAACAGACAGTCTGGGTTTGAATCTCTGTTCCCCCATTTCGGCAAGTAATCAAGTCAGGTAATCTCCTTTTTCTCAGTTTCTGTGCCTCAGTTTCCTCATCTGTAGAATGGGAATAATAACGTTACTTATCTCACAGCAATGTTGAGAAGATTCAGTTAAGTCACACATGCAGAGCAGAACATTTAAAACAGCCTGCACACTGCGACAGTAGCAGTCATTATTATCAAAGTTAAAATGTATTGAGATGGACTTTTTCATGGTATTCACTTATAATTTTTAAATTCTGTACTGTTATTTTTAGTTACATTCTTTTTCATTCCAAGTGTTGTTTACTTACAAATATTCTCTTTTCACCTTGATAAGTCTTGCACGGTTTGCTTATTTTAATAATCTTTTTAAATAATTACCTTTGGATTTATTAGCCATCTCTATGCTTGACTGTTTTCTCTTTCATTATTTTTCACTTTCATCTTTTATATTTACATTCTTCTGCTTTCTCTTCCCTCTTGCTCTTTTTCTAGTTTAAATGCTTACTTTTTAAAAGGTTTTTAAAAATAGGTTTATTTATTTCATTTTTATGTTATTCACTTTTTGAAGAGGGAAGTTAATTAGGTTTATTTATTTATCTATTTACTTACTTACTTATTTTTTTTAATGGCAGCGCTGGGGTTTGAACCCAGGACCTTGTGCATGCTAAGCATGTGCTCTACCACTGAGCTACACCTTCCCCTTCTATATGTCCTTTTGACTCAGTTTTTTTTCATCTGCATTAAGGTCTTCCACCATGAACATGGAGTTGACCATTTCCCCTTGAAATGTTACCTTTTTGTGTTGTATACATTTTGAGGTTGTGTTCGTCTTTTTTATAGTTATGAAGGTGGAGGAGGAAAAGGCTGGGGTAGGGAAGCTGGACCCTGCTAACTACAGGAGGCGATGTCAGGATCAGGAAGGTAAGGTCACCTTGAGAACTTGATGCAAATTCTGGGAGGGCTTGGGAATTCCTTGGATATTCTTATAACAGCCCTTCCAGCTGGGGAATTTAGAGAATCGGCCCCTTTCCCTGACCCACTCACAGTGCCTCTTCTAGATCTGGTGGGACCAGCCTTCACCATGTCTTAAAGGGACCACATGGTTAGGCTGGAGGCAGGTGACTGGTACTTTGCTTGTAAGGATTAGGGCATAGCTTCCCTAACACAAAATTGAACTCTCCTAATTTTGTAAAATCTACAAATCATACTAAATGCTAAATATGAACATTTTACAGATTCTACAAATGGCAGCTCAGCTAAAACTATTGAGTGGGGATGCTTTTGTTGCTCCAGAATTGCTCGCTCGGAGACCCTAAGTAACTCACACTCTACAGAAAAGCGGTCACAGAGTTTATGAAGGGGCGCTACCCCAGCCCTCTCGGAGGGGGACGCTAATCTCCGTCCAGCTGGATGCTCCCTGAGCTGCGAAACGTGTGGAGCCGCTCTGGGGCTGTTAATGGGGAAGAATGCAGTGAGGAGCTGGCACTGTCCTGCCCCAGACTACAAGGTGTTCACAGTGAGAGCAGAATGAAGAAAGAAGCTTGAGGGAGGGTTAGCCATTCCCCAGAGCTCACCAGATAAACAGCCACACTCTAATAAATAACTATAATGGGAAAAAAAATGGGACAATCTAGGTCCAGGGCAGAAAGTGAAATATTTCCCTGATGGCCGTCTCCCCTGATTACTGTAATAAGGATGCTTTTATATGTGTAGCCCCTCAAAATTTCATAATCATGTTCCCATTCACCATTCCATTTAAACGTCTCAAAAATTATGCCCAGCCAATAGAGAAAGGCTTTTTATTCCTGCTTTATAGGTGAGGACACTGAGTCCCAGAAAGGCAGATGTGCATGGCCGTCGAACAAGGGAAGACCAAGCAGGGAGCACCCAGGACAGCTAACTCGTAGGTAGAGGACTTCCTGATATGTCTGCTGCTTCTCTTTTCCGTCTTTGGCCTTAACGGTGGAGAAGAGGCATTCATCACTGGAACAACCAAGTGGTCTAAGCATTTAGAGTTGAACTACTTACTTCTAAATATTGGTGTCCATAGCTTACCTCCAATTACAGCTCACTTAAGAGATGCGGTGTAGAACAAGGGAGGTCACACCTGCCTGGGGGAGGGGAGAGGAGGAAGGAGGAGCATCAGTCATTCTGATACTGGTTCACTAGGAAGTGAGGCAGCACTTCACAAGGATGTCGACCTCACATTCCTCGTTACACTCAGAAGAGGAAGCAATGGGATGAGGAATGCACTAGTCAGAATGGACTCTTACAGAATCTACTCACCACAGTGGACACTCAACGTGTCTCTGAAAGGCTTACACGTGCTTCTCCGAGGTTCAGGTTCACATCGTTCCAGTGTGGTATGTGGTCAGTGATGCCCCGGCATCTAGCATCTGAATTTCAGGAGTTTGAGTCAGGAGGCAGCTCTCCTCCAGTGGGGGGAGAAAACCAAAGTTAATGTAGATCTTAATGTAAGAACGCAAAGTCTCATTTCCCAGTCTGCCACAGCCTTTCAGATTTTAGTTGCTGTTCTTGGGCTTTAAAAATAGTCATAATAATCAATAGTTGTTGACCAGCCCCAGGGAAAATTGTCATCACAAATCAATCAATGTGATGCACCACATTAACGGAATGAACAATAAAAGTATGATCATTCAATAGATGCAGGAAGAGCATCTGACAAAATTCAACATCCATTCACAATAAGAAACACCCAGCAGACTGGGTGTAGAGGGGATGTACCTCACATATGACAAGCCCACAGCTACCATCATACTCAGTGGTGAAACGCTGAAAGCTTTTCCTCTAAGATCAGGAGCAAGAGAAGGATGCCCTCTCTTGCCACTTTTATTCAAAATAGTACTGGAAGTCCTAGCCAGAGCAATTACGCAAGAGAAAGAAACAAAAGGCATGAAGAAGTTTTAAAATTGAAAAGGAAGAAGTAAAACGATCTCTATTTGCAGATGACATAATGTTATAAGTAGAAAACCCTAAAAACTCCACCAAAAAATTGTGAGAACTAAAAGAAAAAATCATTAAAATTGCAGGATACAAAATCAATACACAATAATCAGTCACGTTTCTATACACTAACAACTGTCATGAAGAGGAATTAAGAAAACAATTCCATACAATTGCATCAAAAAGAATAAAATATCTAGGATTAAATTTAACCAAGGAGATCAAAGATCTGTACACTGAAAACTGTGAGACACTGATGGAAGTAATCGAAGACAACACAGGTACATGGAAAGATATTCTGTGCTCATGGAGTGGAAGAATTAATACTGTTAAAATGTCTATCCTACCCAAAGCAATCTACCAATTCAATGCAATCCCAATCAAAATTCCAGTGCATTTTTCACAGAAATACAAAAAACAATCCAGAAATTCATATGAAACCCAAACAACCAAAGCAATCCTGAAAAAGAACAAAGGTTGAGGATCACACTTTGTGATGTCAAGCTATATTACAAAGTTATAGAATTCCAAACAGTATGGTATTGATATAAAAACAGACATATAGATCAATGGAACAGAACAGAAAGTCCAGAAATAAACCCACACACATATGGTAAATTAATTTACAACAGAGGAGCCAAGGATATATAATGAGGAAAGGCTATTCTCTTCAATAAATGTTGCTGAGAAAATGTTGCTGGGACAGCCACGTATGAAGGAATGAAACCAAACCCCTAGCTTACACCATACAGAAAAATCAACTCAAAATGGATTAAGGGCTTAAATGTAGGCCCTGAAAGTGTAAAACTCTTAGAAGAAAACATAAGAAAACTTGACATCAGTCTTGGCAATGATTTTTTGAATTTGACACCGAAAGCAAAGGCAACAAAATAAGAAAAAAACCCAAACAAACAAGTTTCACTACATTAAGCTAAAAAAGCTTCTGCACAGCAAAGGAAACTCTCAACAAAACAAAAAGGCAGATGTCAACAAACAGGCAGTCTACAGAACGGGAGAAAACACTTGCAAATCTCCTATCGGATAAGGGTTTAATATCCAAAATATATAAAAGACTCACACAGCTCAATAGCAAAACAAACAAAAAACAAAACAGAAATCGAAATAAAAAAGAAACCCAGACAAGAAAATTTTAAAATGTTAGGAAGAACTCAGTAGAAATTTTTCAGAGAAAACATACAAACGGCCAACAGGTACAGGAACAGGTTCTCAGCAGCATGGATCATCAAGGAAATGCCCATCCAAACCACAGTGAGGCATCACCCCACACCTGTCAGAATGGCCATCGTCAAACAGACAAGGGCTAACCAATGCTGGCAAGGATGTGGAGAAAAGGAAATCGTGGTGCATTGTTGGTGGGACTGCAAATTGGTGCAGACACTGTGGAAAACAGCATGACGATTCCCAAAAAATTAAAAATAAAATTACCATCCAAAGGAAATGAAATCACTGTCTTGAAAAGCTATCTGCACTCTCATGTTCATTGCAGCATAATTTATAGTAGTCAAGACCTGGAAACAACCTAAGTTTCCATCAGGGGATGAATAGATAAAGAAATTGTGATACACATATGAATGTTATTCAGCCATATAAAAGAAGGGAATCTTGTCCTTTGCGACATGAATGGACCATGAGAGCATCATGATAAGTGAAATAAAACAGAAAAAGACAAATACTGTAGGATCTCACTTATATGTGGAATCTAAAAATCCAAACTCACAGAAACAGAGAACAGATTGGTGATTACCAGAGGCAGAGTGTGGGAGGTGGGCAATTGGGTGAAGGTGGTCGAAAGGCACAAACTCCCAGTTATAAGATAAATAGGTCGTGGGTTTGCAATGCACAGCATGGTGACTATAGTTAGCAATACTGTGTCCTATATTTGAAAGTTGCTAAAAGACTAACTCTTAAAAGTTCTCATCTCACACAAATAAATGGCCTGTAATGGTGTGTGGTGATGGATGTTAATTAAACGTATTGTGGTAATCACTTTGCAGTCTATACATGTATAAAGTCATTGTGCTGTACACCTTAAGTGATACAGTGTTATATGTCAATCATATCCCAGTTTTTTTAAATGATAGGGGAAACTATGGAGGTGGGGGTATGGTGGGGGTAGGTGCATGGAACTTGATTTACTCTCTGCTCAATTATTCTGTAAATCTCAAATTGTACTAAAAAAATCTATTAATTATTTTTAAAATTGTTGATCAACTCAAGTCAACACTGATAAGAAACTGGTAGCAGAATGTCCTTCCTGAGAGCCGAGGGAATCCTAGCTGCCTCTCTGCGCACGGGCTTGGTGCTTACACAGCAGTCAGGCTTCTTAGTGGAATTCTGAATGAAGCTTCTTGGTAGCCCTAGCTCTTGGAAATTCTAGTTTACAAAACCAGCTTGGAGAAACCCTCAGTAACTCACTTTACGGATAAGTAGCTCACATAGACCTTGGCTGTTAGTGAAAATGGCCCTCGGTGGAAATGCATATGGCTTGCCCATAACAATCAAGGAGGGCGCTTGGCGTTTTAGACTCAATCGGTGACCCAATGAGGCCTCTCTCTCCTGGACCATGTGTCAAAAATCATATGTGGTCATTGCTGCTCTGGATAAGCAAGAATGGGGAGATGGGAGTTCTGCTCATTCTGACAGAATTCTAACCATAGCCCCCAGGGTCTCCCTTCCAGTAGCTGCTGAGTTGGTTCAGAATTGGAATTCTGTCAAACCCAAGCCTTGGGACAGTGGCCCTGTCCAGGAGGCCCATGTCTTCTGATTTGCTTCTGTGACCTCAGCTCTTTGTAACTGGAGGACATTAAGGAGAAATGGCAGTTTTCTGTAACCCGCCCTATCCTCTCTTTTATCCTGCACCCACAGACTGCCGTTCCATCCACATTGGGCTTTCAGTCCCCAGTTACCCTCAGAGGAAGAGAGACCAGAAGGAGCATCTTTCAGGCCTGCAAAAGGTCCGCTGGGGCCTGAGGCCAGATAAGCCACAGCAGGGACTGGCAGGTGCCAGCAGCAGTGTGGACCATGTCAGCAGGACGCGTGAGTTCTCTTGTTTTCATATTTTTTCATTAAAGATTATTATTATAAGATATTGAATATAGTTCCCTGTCCTATACAAAAGAAATTTGTTTTTTTAGCTATTCCTATATATAGTAGTTAATATTTGCAAATCTCAGTCTCCCAAATGTATCCCTTCCCACCCCCTTTCTCCCTGGTACCCATAAGATTGTTTACTATGTCTGCAAGTCTGTTTCTGTTTTGTGGATGAGTTCATTAGTGTCTTTTTCTTTTTTTAGATTCCACATATGAGTGATACCATATGGTATTTTTTCTTTCCCTTTCTGCCTAACTTCACTTAGAATGACAATCTCCAGGTCCATCCATGTTGCTGCAAATGGCATTATTTTATTCTTTTTATGGCTGAGTAGTATTCCATTGTGTGGCATTGCTTTATTCTTTTTATGGCTGAGTAGTATTCCATTGTATAAATATACCACAACTGCTGTATCCAGTTATCTGTTGATGGACATTTAGGTTGTTTCCATGTCTTGGCTACTGTATATAGTGCTGCTATGCACATTGGGGTGCATAACATCTTAAAACCTGGATTTCCTTGAGTTATCTACACATACAGCATTCACACAAACAAAAACACAAACAAAAAACCATATTAGGAGAGAATTCTGAGTTAGTGACCTTAAGAACTTAAGGGAAAATTAGGATTGAGAGCTCAAGTTTGCAAGTGAACCAATGAAAGTTCTAATAAATATGAAGTTATTATAACCTATGTATTAGCTGGATTTACCTTATTCCTTGAGCATTGGTGTCCTCGCTTCTGCCTAAATCTCTGTGAATGTCCAGAGGCTTCTTGTCTTGGTGTCACTCAGGCTCCAAGCCCTGCCTGCTGGGCTCACCATCCCGCTGTGTTTCACCTTCTATACGTGTTCTCCACCTTCACCTCCAGGCCAGCTCAGGCATGGAGTCCAGTCCTTCTGTGGTCTCCCCCACATGGGCCACGTGCCACATAGACGTGAATAGCAGTTTCTCTTGCAGTTCAGAACCATGAGCAGTTTTACCTTGCAGAGATAACATGATTTTTAAAGTGAGGTACCAGAGATCTCCTTTCTTAAAAATCCTCTGGTCCCTGGAAATTTCCCATTGGCCACTTTTCTCTGCAGTTTCAGCCTCCTACCATATTTCTGGCAATTCCCACCTCACCCCACTGCCCCTTCCCAGGCCCCTCGCTTTCCAGTCACATTAATTCCCCTCTGCCCCAACTTTGGCTCACAGCCCATTTTTGTGCCATTAAAGACACACGATGTCTTGAACTAAACACAAAGACCATCTCCTCTAAGTCTAGCCGTTTAGCTAGCCTTAACATTTTATAACTCTTAACACTTGCAGTTTGGGAAATGATATGCAGAAGAGAACCTCTATACCCTAGAGTCTTATATAAGGGGGACTCATGTTTAAGAAAGTCATTTTATCACAAGTCTCAGAAACCTACTGAGCCATCTTTAGCAAGGTGGAGTTGGAGGGAAGGGAGAAAGAGAGAGGGAGAGAGAGAAAGTTGATATTACAAGAACAAGGTCAGGGGGAGGATATAGCTCAAGTGGTAGAGTGCGTGCTTAGCGTGCATGAGGTCCTGGGTTCAATCCCAGTACCTCCTTTTAAAATAAATACATAAAATAAATAAGTAAATAAACCTAATTACCCCCCCACCCCCGCCAAACAAAAAAGAAGAACAAAGGAGTTTGTCACAGTCCCCAAAGAGCCAGCAGCCAGGCTCAGCAGGAGGACGCAGCGACTCTCAGGGACTCATGGCCTTTTCCCTGCTTCCCCTGCAGGTCTGTCTGCTTTATTCCTCTTCCTCTGTAGCCTTTTCTTCCTCTCTGCATCCTCGGCTTCCAGTTTACATGTTCTTTCTCTCAGAACCCACCAGGAGAGGCCCAGCTATCTCAGAACCCCAATTCAAACTTCCCAGGCTTGGGTCCGGAGTCCAGCTGACTGTTCCTGGTCCACTTAACTGTGGCCAGGCGCTTCTTAACCCGTCAGGCACTCCGCAGACTCCGACACCGGGGAGGCATCATTTGGCTCAGGGCTGCCTGGGCCGGGCAGACAACCCCAAAGCTACTGGCGACAGGAGGTAACCCCAGAAAACACTTCAACTCTTCAAGTTCCCTCGTCTTCCTTCCCAGAAAACACATGTGGAGTTTATGGACCACTTTCTAGGAAAAAACAAAAGCAAAATTTTACTGTCTGTGGAACTAAGACTTGGGGCCCTCGAGTCCCCTCTTGAAGACCACCTCACACAACCACAAGCACGAGTCCGTTTCTGTCTCTCGCTCCCCAGTGCTCAGAGGCCTTGGCTATCCTTGGTCCCCTGCCTAGCTCTGTTTCCTTGTTGGTGGCTTTTTTCTTGCTGAGGCGAATCCCAGCTGATACACTCAGGAGTGCTAAGCAGGAAAATTGATTCACCGGCAGGTATGTATTGCGTCCCACGCTGTGTGAGCCGTGTGCTGGGGGCCAGCAGTGTGATGTGAGCCAGACAGACCCCGACCTCACTGGGCTGGCTGTCTAGCCATCTGTGCGGAGCCTAAGAGAGAGGGAGCCTCTGAAAGGACCCAGGGCTGAGGACCCCAGCCCCAAATCCTCACGCTGATGGTCCCAGACTCCTCCTGGATCTTTACTAAGAGTTGAAGACTTGCAGGTTCACAATTCACTAGGTGATTTTTGTAATGACTGTACAGGTCTCCTCCCACCCCCCGAATAACTCCACTGCTAGTAAGAGCACAGTTCTGTTTGCTTCCCTCAGTGAAGTTTCCTGAAGCTTCCTTCTGCCCATGTGTGTTTCTCCTAGCACCTGTTGGCTGAGCCCGTCCCTACAGCTGGCCCAGGGCCATGTGGCTGTCGGCCAGGGAGGCCGTTATCTCTGGCCTTGCTCCTTGATGGGTCAACTTGTGACCTACTGTGGGGGTGGAGTGCATTACTGACCACTGAGCCCCTGATGCAGGAACCCGGCACCCAGTTCTAGGTTCTGTGGGTGGGATGAGGGGGCAGCGCGGGAGTAGCGTGGGTGTTTAGAAACTGAAGAGGGTTGAGTGTTTGGCATGTTTAAAGGGGCCATTATTAGGGAGGAAGGTGTCAAATCTGTGGGCAACAGCAATCATAGCGATGTTTCCTGATGGGCAGAGGCCAAGCACCGTGCCAGCCACACCCCATGTGTTACCTCCTTACTGACCACCGCAGTCCAGTTAGGTGCTGTGATTATTCCCTCTTTGCGGGTGAGGAAACCAAGGCTCAGATTGCTTAATGCCTTGCCAGGACCCCACTAGTAATTAGCAGAGTCCAGAGCTGAACCCTGGTCTGGGCTCTTAAAGAGCGGATAGCAAGCATCCTCTGGTGTCCTTGGTGATGTCTCTTTGGGTGCTACTCCGGGGTTTCGAGGTCACCCACAGCCCCGGACTGTGTGTAGTGTGCAGGGCCTGCCCAGTGGCGCTCAGGAGAAAATGGGCCGCGGCCAACTATAGAGCGTGGGACCCTCAGAAGGGCCATCTCCTCCCTGCCCTGCCTGCTAAGGAGCCCGTCCAAAGCAGGAACTCCTCGGTGGTGGGGTTGGCTTGGGGCCCAGCACCTAAGCACACATCCCTGACCCTCTGCTGCTGTGTTCTCAGCCTTCAAGTGGGCACCCTTGAGCCGAGCCTCCGGTGTGGAGACGCGGTAAGGGAGCGCCAGGGCCGTGCAGGGCACAGGGCGTCAGCAGACCGCTCTCCTCTGAGCTCCCCTAACCTGGGGCCTGCTGGGGCTTCGGTGCTGTAAACTGGGTCTCAGTTTTCTCACCCATGAAATGAAGGGTTTGGACTCAGCCCCGGCTAAGCCCCCTCCCAGCTCTCAGACTTAGCAAACTCAGGGTTCACAGCTCCTTGGAGCCGCAGCCACTCATGACCTCAAGTCAACCTTGGCACATTCTAAGTACTCAGTAAGCACTTGTTGAACCGAACCCAGGAGATTAGGAGTTCCTCAGCTGAGAGAAATAATTCTCTCGGGGGCTCACCACACACCCTGAAGTGACCAGTTCCTGCAGTCCGTGGGCTCTGAGAAAACACCCACTGAGTGATGCTATTTGGCATTTTGTCTTAGACACAGACTAAGAGAGAAGGGATCAGGAATTTGGGCTTCAAGTTGGGGAAGGAGAGAAACCAGCTCCCTGGGAGATTATTGACTGAGGTGCTTGCAGTGAAACGTGAGACCCTCCAGCACCCCTCCTCCCACAGCCCCACCCCCACCCAGAGAGAGCCCACCCAGCCAGGCCCCTCAGGAGGCCCCCCGGGGGTCTCAAGGCAGAGCCCGCTTCTGTCTTTATAAAGGGGCGGGAGAGCCCCGGGGTGTGGTGGGGAGGGCTCATGGGGGAGGCAGGGGGCCAGTTCTGCCTGTCCTCAGGGCTCCCCGTCCCCCAGCACACCCCTGCTCCCCGCACCCCTGGTTCTGGCTGCCTTTTGTGGGGGGAGTGGCTTTTGCCCAGCCACTGAGACTGTCCATCCAGTGCACCTGAGAACTCTCTCTCACACAGTTCTTTTAAACTCACAATATCTTTAATTCAATCTCAACACATTTTTCCTTTCACACTGCATCTCTTTTCTCTCACATATAACCCTCTCTCTCCACCTCCCCAGTCTTTCACGCATTCCTTCTCTCTCTCTCTCTCTCTGTCTCTCTCCTCCCTCGCCACCCCTCCTCTCTCTCTCCTCCTCTCCCCACCCCTCCCCTGCTGCTTAACTGGAAACAAAAGTGAGTCTGTTGTGCCCTGCTGGTGGGGAAGAGGACGTGTGGAGGCAGCAGCCAGGGCGGCGGCAGCAGGAACAGGCTGGGGCCAGAGGCAGCGCCCACAGCCGGAGACCCCAGCGCTCGGCTATTCCAGGGAGCAGGTAATGCCCCAGGCAGGGCTGGTTCAAGCATCCTGCTCTTTGCCCTGTCTCACCATTTCACGACTGTTCCACTTATTTGGTCTGGTCTGGCCTTGGAAGGGGAAGGGGATACCAGATTTAGGGAGTGGTAGGCGCAAAGGTCCAAGGAGTGATGTGCCCTCCTCTTCGGAGAACTGCGTGGGGTCTGATGCGGCCGGGGCCCAGGGCGCGTGGGGTCAGGGGTGGCTGGGGTCAGAGTGTCCGGGGTCCAGGGTGGCTGGAGTCCAAGGGTGCCTGGTGAGGGACACGATAGAACCTACCAAGGCAATTTAGGGCCAGATCACAAGGAATGCTTGCAGCCATGTCATAGACCCTAGGCTTTAGGTAACAGAGAGCTACTGAATGTTCTTCTCCTGGAGAGTAGCATGACCAAAGCTACATTTTAAAAGGGTAGTTCTTGAACTCTGATCCCATGGGGAACTGATGTGCCTTCTCAGAATCAAGCAGTCCTAGTCTTCTCCCAATTTAAAGAAAGAAGGTTATGTGTTCAGTTGTTAAATTTTCTTCTATAAAATGTCCTTAAACTTTTGATGTTTGTTAGCAAGTGTCTGCAATCAATAAGTCAATCAAAGGATGTATGTTTAAGGTAGTAGAAAAACTCAGAAATAAAGTCCATTTAAATAAATGCAGTCCACTGAGCCATATACAGATAAATTGATAGTATTTTCTGCTAGTAAAATTATTTCTAACTCACATGTACAACAGGTGCTGGTGCTGCCCAGAGAGCACCATGACTCCTTGGAGCTGGCCATGCGACCTGGATGGACCTGGAGATTATTGTCCTAAGTGAAGTCAGCCAGAGAGAGAAAGAAAAATACCATACAATATCACTCATATGTGGCATCTAAAAAAAAAAGACAAATGAACTTATTTACAAAACAGAATCAGACTCACAGACATAGAAAACAGGAGGGAAGGGGATGGGAAGGGATAAATTTGGGAGTTTGAGATTTGCAGATACTAACTACTGTCTATAAAATAGATAAACAACAAGTTTCTACTGTACAGCACAGGGAACTACATTCAGTATCTTGTAGTAACCTATGGTGAAACAGAATATGAAAACGACTATATGTATGTGTATGTCTGACTGAAGCATTGTGCTGTACGCCAGAAATTGACACACCATTGTAAACTGACTAGACTTCAATAAAAAATATATATCAAAAAACCCCTCAAAAACAAACCAAAAACTGAGGCTTGAAGAGAGGAGCAAAGGTTGGGGATGGCATCGAGGGACCTGGGAAAGGGTGCTGACAAGGATGAGCGGGAGTGGCTGCCTTTGGAGACCTGTGAGGCAGGCACCCCCATTTGCACAGCTGGGTGGTTTTCTGCAGAACGAGTCATGAGCCCGGGCGCTCAGGGTGGTGGCAGGGGGATTAGCACCCATTACATCCCAGGCCCTGTGTCACATGTGTTATTCTCCTTGTCTGATTTATTTCCCCCAACAGTCCTGTTCACTCGGATTGAGTTTATTCATCAGTAAATAGCAGCTCTGTATTCGCACCCTTGTCTGGCTGGATTAAGCTCACTGTGTACCCTGCATCCCCCATCCACTGTACCACACTGCCTCTCCCTCTACCCCAGGACACACCTGCAGGGGCAGAGACTGGGCCAGTGAGTTCCTGTTTGGGCACTGGCTGCCTGGTTTTATCAGGAAATCAAGGAGTAAGAGTGGAGAGCGTGATGACAGAGTGATTGAATTATTGACCACTGGGATCCATGGAGAAAAAAGTGCGGGCTGAAGGGGATGATAAACTGGGGGTCAGCGAGGATTGATAAGGAAGAAGAGTATTCTCAAAAACTTTTCATGTGGGAGTGGAGGGGAGAGGTAGAGGTGGGGTGAGGGTGACGCCAGGGCACCTAGCCTGTGCAGCTGGGCGGACGGTGGGCCACCAAGGCGTTCGATGTTGGGCGATAGGTCTCTCTCTTGCTCACACGCTCTAGACACACTGACAGCACATCCCCACCTCGGTCTTCAGAAAACTCGGAGCACTTTTATTCCAGATATGCAGAAGTGGCTTATTCTCGTTTGTCAAGTCGCAATTCAAAGACACCCTCCTCAGAGAGGCCTTTTTTGACCATGCCATCGAATATAGCTCTGTGATCTGTTTATTGAATTTTTTCCCAGAACACTTATCAATTCCTGACATGATTGTTTATGGATTTGCTTACTTGTTTATTGTCTGTCTCTGCTGGGCCTTCTCCACTGCTTTGTTTTCCAAATAAAACATCGTTCATTATTTAGAACAATGCCTGGCACATAGTAGGCACTCATTAAATATTGAGTGAGAGAAAGAAGGAAAGAAGGAGAAAAGGAAGGAGAGAAGAAAGAGGAAGGAAGGGTGGGAGGGTGGAGGGGCATGTTTGGGGAAGGGTGTGTGTTCTGTGTCGGAATGCTGACTTTTGAGGGGCCTGAGGGGCCTCCAGGAGGTGATGTCCCCTGGGCAGCTGGACAGCAGATGGGGAGCTCAGGAACAGGCTGTGCCCTCGCCCCTGAAGGCGGAGGCCCCGTGACACCAGGGGGCAAGCACACCCTCTCACACGGCCGGTTGCCCCTCAAGGCCAATGTTGGGAGGTGACTGGTTTGAGGCCAGTAGGGAAGGGGATCCCTCCGGGTTTGTTGTGCTGAAGTTGGTCAGAGTTTTTCTCACTTCGCTTCCCTGTTCTCTTCCCTGTCCTTGATGCTGGCCTGGCTTGGGCCACTTTCCATCCTTCCTCACGGTCAACTACAAGACCCTGGAGTCTGAATGCCAACCAAATCCTTTCATCTTTTTTATCTCAAAGACTTTCTCACCCACATCCAACCACAGAGGCTTGAGTCTAGCTTGGGCCAGAAGCTGGACTTAGTTTTACTGAATTAGGAAATACTTTCCCCTTGCACCTGGCTTCTGCTGCATTTCAGCCGGCCTCGCAGCCCTGCGCTGGCCACGGGGCACTCAGCGGGGCCTGCCGCCCTCTCTCTGCAGGGTCTCCAGCTGCTGAGCAGCTCCAGGACATCCTGGGGGAGGAAGATGAGGCTCCCAACCCCACCCTCTTCACAGAAATGGACACACTGCAGCATGATGGAGACCAGATGGAGTGGAAGGAGTCAGCCAGGTGAGGCAGAACCCCAGGAGGGAGGGAGAGGGGGCTTCCCACTGCAGTCTACATGGGCCCACGCTCAACTGACCAGCGGCATCTGGTACCTTGAGTTCCGCCAGCGCACTTCCTGGCCCCCAGAGACCCTCCTACCTGCCTTTCTTGGTGTCTGGAACTGGATCGGACACTAAGGAGCAAACAGAAACTTAGGACTTTGTCTTATCCTCGAAGAAATTAAAATCCAAGTGGGACGGTACACAGACATCCCTGAAACCATGAGAGAATAACACAAGGGCATATATTCTTTCATGTCAAATGGCTCAAACTAAATGCTGTAGAAGGGAAGGCACCAAGCGGGCTGGGGTAGACAGGGCGGGCTTCCTGGAGGAAGGAGACCGTGTGCCGGGAGAACTCCAGATGGGGTGGTCCAGTGGGCCACTGAAGAAAAGCGGTGGTGGGGAGGGTACAGCTGAGTTGTAGAGCACACGCTTAGCATGCACAAGGTCCTGGGTTCAATCCCCAGTACCTCCATTAAAATAAATAAATACCTAATTCTCTCCCCACAAACAAAAATAAACAAAACAAAAAATTTTTTTGAAAAAAAAGAAAAGGGACTTGGCAGAGTTTGGGGCAGGACAAGCAGAGGGGAGCTCTGAAGGCATGCATGTGGGGGGTTGGGTAGCAGAGAGAGCTGTGTATTTAGGGGCAGTAGAAGGGGAGGCAAGAGCCTGAAGCCTGGAGGGAACCCACACAGGGAAGTCACGGGAGCCAAGGGGGAATCAGGGTAAGGAGTGATGCTGGCCGTACCCAGTGCCAGAGACTGGGACAGAGCGGCCTCCAGACTGATCAAGGCCATCAGCAGGGCCAAAGCCAAGGAGCCAAGGAGAAGGGAGAAGACAGTAGGAGGCAGCGGGAGGGGCTGGGGGAGGAGGAAAGGCCCTGGGACGGAAGTTGAGAGAGCCTGGAAGACTGGGCATACCAGTGTTTCTCAACCTGTTTTTGTATTCGCCCTACCCCAACCCCCTGGAAAATTTTAATTTAAATTAACCTTGTTAAATTAGAATTTAATTTATTTCTAATGAGAGCAATGAAATACTAAAGAATTAGATTTTGTCAGGTAGGGTTGAGCTTTGGCGTGCCACAAACCATTGTAATACCGTAAACATTTTTTGCTCTGCTAAGAACCAGTGCTTGCCTCCTCGGGGCTAACATTGCCCCAGCTGAGAACACATGGGGACCAAGTGCCAGCTGTGCCCAGGACGGGGGCCACCATGACTCCCAGAACCTGGAGCTGCCCCCTTATGGCCTGGGCTCCTTCCTCACCCACCAACCTCACTCACCTCCGTATTTACTCTATAGAGCGAGAAGGAGCAGGTATCCCCAAGCTTCCGCCCTCCAATCTCTCCCTTAAAAAGAGGCCATTGGGTGACTAGCAAATCCCTGCAGGCCTGCAAGAAAGAATGGACTCCCAGCCTCCTGGCTGGGCCCCAAGCCCTGTCTGGAAGCGAGGGCAGTGAGCCCTTCCTCCGTGCTAAACCAACAGTTCACAGCTCCATCTCATTCAAGCTGCGCATTGACCCTCAGGAGACAGGAATTATTATTATCCCTCCTTCACAGAGGAGGACAGTGAGGTTTAGAGCGGCAGATAGCTTGCAAGGGTCAGACCGTGCAGGCAGCCGAGTGTGGACTCCAGCCCAGGCCTGCCTGACCCTCCAGTCGGAGGGCCTACGCACTTTGCCCTGTTCCCACCCATTTTCTCAGCCACTTCCGCCCCCTTCCTCCATCTTCCAGGGACTCCGTTGATTTCCACTTGAGGACATAAGTCTGGAAGCAAGTCTACTGGTGTGAGACATAACTGGGGACAGCCACAGAGCCCAGGACATCTACCCAGGGCTGGTAAGGGAGGGGAGGACATCTCAGATGACCAGGGCCCAGTCTGGGCTGCTGTGGCTTAATGCCTCTGCGGGGCTCGTGGCTCCCTCGGGCAAGTGCCCTTCCTGTCCAAGGTGGCATGCAGAGAGAAGGGACGTTGAGAAGGTCCTCGCCAAGGCCCAGCAGGGAGATGGCGCCGTCTCCCCACCTGGGCGAGCTCTGCCTTCAGAGCCCCCTGGCGTGGTTACCAGGACCAGACGCTCCATGAGGGCCTCTCACTGGCACCTCATGGCCTTAGAGACACGACTGTCCCCAGAGACAACACACCCAGCTTCTAATCTCTGAGCACGGCTCCCCAGAGCCCTGGGCTCTGTAGACCCTGCAATGAAGGTGAGATGCTGTAGATCACGGTGTTTCTGAAATGAGTCTCCCCGTAAGACACAAAAGGGCCTGGGGTTACCCTGGAAGGGTCCCACTGTAACTCAAGTGGACCCCAAACCAACAGTGATGGAAAGCGGTGACTGGAAGAGGTTAAGTGGCCGAACCCAATTCCAGGCAGAGCTGAGAAAGGAGGAGCGTGAGGGCCAGCGCCGGGCCGGAAGCGGTGGAGGAGAGCCGCTCAGGCCTCGTCTCTCAGCTCCTTTCTCCACCCCAGCCTCCTTTGACCTTCCCTCCAGCTCACCCTGCGATTTTGCAGCTCACTTTTGAGGTCTGAGCAGTGAGCCTCTGACCTCAAGGGTCTGACTGTGGGCCAACAAGCCCGCCTTGGCCCGGACAGCTATGCTGGGGGCTCCTTCAGGCAAACTGCAACAGGAGAGGTGCTTGGGGCCTGTGTGGGGCCTGTCACTCCCACCAAAGAATGGGAAGAATTTCCCTCAGCTGACAGGCTGTGTGATCTATGCTGAGAAGCTAGAGGTCTCAGAAGTTTCCAGAACCCAAGAATCATCGAAGCCAAGTGGGTCTGGGCCTTCTTGGCATAACAGGAGAAAATGATGGGAGGAAGGGAACAACCCCTCACAGACACTCGGGCCCTAAGAGGGGTGCAGGTCTACACCCGCATCCAAGGGGATGGGGGAGGGGACCCTTGAACACAAGTATTTCATTTGTTGCAGGAGTGTTTGCTTTATTGAGTTAGGAGATTAACAGAGTGAAAATCTCAAATCCGCAAGGAATTTTCCCCGGCGGTGCTTTTCTAGGGGTTATTAGTTTGGGGGATGTTTCAGGCCCTTGGAAAAGGAATCACCCCTGGACGGATTTAAATGGCCTTTTGAGCTCCACTGAGCCTTGCCCCTGTGTGCACGCTGGGGACTGTGTGTGCGGGCGTCATTCTGATGTGATCAATGCTGGTAGGTCAGGCTGTTAATAAGATAGATTTTTATTAAGTCTGTCTCTTTAGCATTCCCGGGAGGGGAATGCAGCTGGCTGTTTGCTGATACTGACCTTGCCTGAAGGGAGGGCTGGGTCCAGTGGAGTGGGGCGGACCCCCTCACTACCGGCAACCAATTTACCCAGAATTCCACCTTCTGTCAACCTTGAAGGTGCCTGGCTGCAGGGGAGGAAGGGAAGGAGACTGATCTGAGCTGGAACTCTGCCAAGTGTGGAGGGCCCTTTGGGATCACTCGAAAATAACCAAAGCTTAGAGCCTTCCATGGGCTCTGAAAGCAAACTCCAAATCCAGGCTGCCTCCGATCTCAACTCACAGCAGACCAAAAGCATGAACTTGCTGGAATGTTTTTTTCCTATGAGACACATATGTCCTAAAGATATCCCTGCAATGACCAGGAAAGGGCAGAAAGAGAGGCAGGAGAAATAGGTCAGCTTAGTCGGGTCAGACCAGATCAGCACATTTTCAAGAGCCCTGAACGGTTCTCTGCACATAGGCAGGGATGCTTTCTCGCTCTGTGCGGGATGGAGGAGACAGCCGGAACCCCATCTCAGCCCCGAAACCGCTCCTGTTTACAGTCCTGCAGAGTGCTCACCCACCACCATTTCCCCTCTTAGCCTGGGGAAGAAGGCATCCTAGCCCTCTGTTCTCACCACTCACCTGGGATCACCCTTGTGGGGCCAGAGCTGCCCTTTCTATGTAGAAAGCAGAATAGAGAGCTGAGAATTCTTAGCAGAGAAGTCTACAAACCTCATTCATTCATGCAGCTACTCTTTACTAAGTGTTTACTGTCTGTAAGCCCAGAGCCAGGTGCTTAGAGATACCAAAAACATACCAAAAAGCCATCCCTGCTCACTTGGGTCTCAGTCTAATGGGGCACAGAGGTGATAACCAGACATTTGTTGATGGAGATGCTGAAAAAGCACAGCATAGAGGGACCTATCCCAGACAGGAGGGCTCACGGAAGGCATCCAGGAAGAAGAGGGGTTCACACAGACACCTGGAGAATGGCTCAAAGTTAGGCAGGAGAGGGTATGTAAGGGGGAAGGGGCCCCTAGAGCAGGAGAAACAGAGACATAGAGGAAGGGGCGGAAGTTCCCTGTAGCTGGACCACAGAGGGAGTGGCTGATCTTTGCAGGTCCTACACAGACCATGTTGTGGAGTTTGAACTTGATGCTGAGAGCTTTGGAGACCACTGAGGGGTTTGGGGTGAGAGATGGACAGGACTATCTGCTTGGGAGAGATCACTCAGCTTTCAATGTGAAGAATGTACAAAAGGAGACAAGACTGGGCCAGTTAGGAGGCTGGTCCAGGTGAAAGGTGATGAGATTTTGAGCCAAGATGTTGACAGTGGAAATAGGGAGAAGGGGTAGATTTGAGACAGCTTTTTTTTTTTCAAACATGTACATATATATTTTTTTTCCTTTTAAATATTCTTTATTATTTAGAGCAGTTTTAGATTCACAGCAAAACTGAGCAGAAGGGATGGAGTTCCCATGTGCCCTTACACATGCACAGCCTCTCCAATTATCTGCATCCTCCACCAGTGTGGTACTTTTATCACTATTGATGAGCCTACACTGACATCATTGTCACCCAAAGTCCATAGTTTACTAGGGTTCACATTTGGTGGTGTGCTTTCTGTGGGTTTGGACAATTGTGTAATGACACGTATCCACCATCATAGTACCATACAGAATAGTTTCACTGCCCTAAAAACTCTCTGTGCTCTGCCTGTTCACCCCTGTTTCCTCCCTGACCC